AATATGATCCAGTTAGTTTTTTAGTTAAACAAAATGCTGTGTTACTATTCAAATAGGAATTGATATAAAAATTGCCACTTTGATTAATATGATAATGTGGAAGAAACAATCACACCCAACTACAACACAGTAATACCGATTGTATACTTCATTTAACCAACCCATTTATTTACACCTTTTATGCTGAGAAGAACTCTTTGCCCGAATACTTGTCTGATTCCTCAGTGAAATTGTAAAAACAAGCGAAACAGTAGAGTCTTTTTCTTTCTTTCTTTCTTTTTCAACAACCAAATCAACTGGAGGCAATCGTTCGCCGATGTTTTGAACTCATAAATTTTCCAGTAAAGAAAAAGAAAAGTCAAAATGACGTAATTGATGCAACATCGGAAAAAATATTGATTGTTCGCGCAAAGCCTCTGTTTTCAGGAAAACTCACTCCGTTACCAAACATTTAACGGACGCTGAACGGAAGCTGAACGAACACCAATGGTCATACTCATGCCTAAAGCAGATATTGCATTCAAACCAACTATCAAAAGAAAAGTTCAAATCGTAAAACAAAAAGAAATGCTCGTTGAATTATAATAAACATAATCTCAGAAACCCAGTCCAGCTACCAACTGATTTAGCTTTGGTTTTTGAAAATTTTTACTGAGGTGAAAAAAGTATAAAAGATTATTCGTTTTCATCGTTCTTTCATTTGACAAAAAAAACTTTTTCCTTTTGAACTATTTTTTTAGCAGTGCAAAATAAAGTAATTTTATTCTAATAAAAAATCGAAAGAAAGAAAGAAGATTTTTTTATCTCATTCAAAATAATAAAAAAGTTATAGGTGTTTAACAAAAAACAAAAAAAAACCAAACACCAAAATGTCAGGTCCTAGTGATCCAACCAAGGAAAAATACCCAGTCGCAGAAGACGACGACGACGAAGACATTGACCAGTTGATCCTCGACTTGCAATCAGTGCATGGTGGTAATGGAGACGACAACGAGTCGATTGAAGAAGAAGTGGAGGCAGGGCAAGCCAGACCAGTTCCTGAAGAGCTATTACAAACCGACCCCAGCATTGGATTGAGCTCTGATGAGGTGCTTAGAAGAAGAAAGAAGTATGGTCTCAACCAAATGGCTGAAGAAAAGGAAAACATGATTCTCAAGTTCTGCATGTTCTTTGTTGGGCCAATTCAATTCGTTATGGAAGCCGCTGCCATCTTAGCTGCTGGTTTGGAAGATTGGGTTGATTTTGGTGTCATTTGTGCCTTATTGTTGTTAAACGCCTTTGTCGGATTCATTCAGGAGTACCAGGCTGGATCCATTGTTGATGAGTTGAAAAAGACATTAGCCCACTCTGCTCATGTTATCAGAGATGGCCACTTAGTAGAAATCCCAGCCAATGAAGTTGTTCCAGGTGACATTCTTCAATTGGAAGAAGGTACAGTCATTCCAGCCGATGGTAGACTAGTGTCTGAAGACTGTTTCTTGCAAGTTGATCAATCTGCTATTACTGGTGAATCTTTAGCTGTTGACAAGCACCATGGTGACCAAACGTTCTCTTCCTCCACTGTCAAGAGAGGTGAAGCCTTTATGGTTGTGTGTGCCACTGGTGATAACACATTTGTTGGTAGAGCTGCTGCTTTGGTTAACAAGGCTTC